AAAGCTTCAAATTTGTGTAATTATTTGCACATGATTTATTGTAAGAATGGGCTATGTAATACCCTTGTAAAAGTATTCTAAAGTGTATAAAAAAAATTGAAATCAATTGTGAAAATCCATTCCTTATATAGGACGTTCTCTCCTGTTGAATAAATGGGGAGGATCAAAAAAAAAATTTTTTTTCTTGATTCTAATTATATAGTTCCTTATGAATAATAAATCCAATTATAATAACAGGTGTCGGATTTAATAAAACTTTCCTATCACAAACATAAGTTTGGGTGCAATTAAGCACACCTCATAACTGTGGATTTTTTCACAGGTAAGGGTGTCCTCTGTTGGAAGGCTTTGGACAAAACCTCTCTTATCTTCCCCACAGACCAGGCTTGGCTGTTACCATACAGGCATTGATAACTGATGAGGATCAGAATTTGTGTGATGATTGCTGTTCCACTAGAATAAAGTTGGTGTCTGCAACTGGACCAAAATTCTGCAACTTGGGAGGTTATAACCTGGGTTATTGTTTTGGATTTTTCCCTGAATTCCGAGTTGTGAGTCCTGGGTTGCTGTCTTGTGTTGGTGGCATGCCTACTCACAAACAACTCTACTCCCATTTAAAAAGTACCAAATTCAATTGGTCAAATAAAAATTAAAGAAACAGAGAATTTATGAATGATTAATTTATACAAAACATACCAAAAAAAATCTGTACTATTTTATTTTACAGCTTTCCTCCTAACATCAGAGCCTAAATGCAATTTCAGGGTCACCAACCTACTCTGAATTGCAACCTCCTGTGCTTGAAATGAGTTGCAGATTCTCCTCCAGAGTTGCAATTACTTGGTTACAGATTCATCCTTACCCTAGAGGTAAGATTGTTGCAGGAAACTTTTGGCTAACATTGCAGCCTTCTCTGGTCTGGGTGCTGTGAGAAAAGATTATCAAAAGTGTCATTGACAATGATGCAGTCTCGGTAAACTCCAGGGCCACGTACCCCCCTGAAAATTTTGTTGCATCATTGTATCTCAGGGCAAGCTAGTCAGGTTAGCCTTTTGTACACGGGGAAGACGTGAGAATGACTGTAAAGTATTAAGGTAGTGTATGTGCTTCAACGTCTGTTAATTTTCTGATAATCAAATGTCACATATCGAATTGTTTCAGTCATGCTGCCTTGATATCTTCTTAATATTAATAAATATTAATTCGTGATCCATGAAACATCTGCAAAATTTTCATAATAGATAATACAAAAGAGATAATTAATTCCAAATGCGGTAATTTGGTTGATAAACTTTACCAAGATTTTCCCAGATTTTTTTTTTTCTAGAAGGTGTTGTTTTATGTAACTTTTGTTACATGAATTTCGTAGAAAATCCTTTAAAAAGGGAATCTAGGCAAGTAAAAACTACAGATGAGGAAGAGGAAGAGGTAAGTGAAAAGATTGATTTCACTAGAGCCATCAAGATGATTGCTAAAATCTTTTGTGAAAGAGAATATAATAATAAAGAAGGTCCTATATATGAATTTGATGAAATGCGAAGATTGCTCCAAGAAATAGAACCAAGCTTGAGGGGGTTTTTTGACCAACTCTATTTAGC